ACAAGAGCACCTGAAGGAAGCACTAAGTATGGAAAGAAGGCTGGGCATGGTGGCTCATGTCTGTAATCCTAGCACTTTGGGAGGCTAAGATGGGCACATTACTTGAGGCCAGGAGTTTGAGACCAGTCTGAGCAACATGGTGAAACCCCATCTCTACTAAAAATACAAAAATTAGCTGGGTGTCATATTGTGCACTTGCAATCCCAGCTACCTGGGAGGCTGAGCATGAGAATTGCTTGAACCCAGGATGCAGAAGTTGCAGTGAGTTGAGACTGCACCACTGCACTACAGCCTGGGCAACAGAGTAAGACTCTGCCTCAAAAAAAGAAAAAATATATATATATGGAAAGAGAAGACTGTTACTAACCATTGCAAAAACACACAGTAGTACACAGAGCAGTGATACTATAAAGCAACCACATAAACAAGTCTGCAAAATAACCAGTTAACATCATGATGACAGGATCAAATTTATATATATCAATAATAACCTTAAATGTAAATGGGCTAAATGCCCCAATTAAAAGACACAGAATGGCAAACTAGATAAAGAACCATGACCTATTGGTTTGCTGTCTTCAAGAGACCCATCTCATATGCAATGACACACAGAGGCTCAAAATAAAGGTATAGAGGAAAATTTACCAAGCAAATGGAAAACAGAAAAAAGCAGGGGTTGCAATCCTAGTTTCTGACAAAACAAGACTTTAAACCAACAAAGATAAAAAAAGACAAAGAAGGGCATTATATAATGGTAAAGGGTTCAATTCAACAAGAACTATTCTAAATATATAGGCACCCAACACAGGAACACCCAGATTCATAAAGCAAGTTCTTAGAGACTGTCAAAGAGACTTAGAGTCCCACACGGTAATAGTGAGAGACTTTAACACCCCGTTCACATTATTAGACCGATCATCAAGACAGAAAATTAACAAAGATATTCAGAACCTGAACTCAGCACTGGATCAAATGGACCTGATAGATATCTACAGAACACTCCATATGAAAACAACAGAATATGCATTCTTCTCATTGCCACATGGCATTTACTCTAAAATCAATGACATAATCAGAAGTAAAATGCTTCTAGGCAAATGCGAAAGAACTGAAATCACAACAGTCTCTCAGACCACAGCACAATCAAATTAGAACTCAATACTAGGAAATTCATTCAAAACTGTACAATCACACGGAAATTGAATAATCTGCTCCTGAATTACTTTTGAGTAAACTAATTGAAATTAATGAGAACAAAGATACAACACACCAGAATCTCTGGGACACAGCTAAGGCAGTGTTAAGAGGGAAATTTATAGCACTAAACACCCTCATCAAAAAGTTAGAGAGATCTCAAATTAACAACCTAACATCACAACTAAAAGAAGTAGAGAAGCAAGAGCAAACAAATCCCAAAGCTAGCAGAAGACAAGAAATAACCAAAATCAGAGCTGAATGAAGGAGATAGAGAAATGAAAACCCTTTTAAAAGATAAATGAATCTGGGAGCTAGTTTTTTTTTGAAAAAATTAGTAAAATAGACTGCTAGCTAAACTAACAGAGAATAAAAGAGAGAAGATTCAAATAAACACAGTGAGAGATGATAAGGGGAATAATACCACTGAACCTACAGAAATATAGGCAACCATCATAGACTACATCTACATATATAAAATAGAAAATCTACAAGAAATGAATACATTTCTGGACACATACACCCTTTCAAGATTGAACCAGGAGGAAATTCAGTCCCTGAACAGACTAATAATGAGTTCTGAAGCTGAGGCAGTAATAAATAGGCTAACAGCCAAAAAAAGCCCAGGACCAGATGGATCACAGCTGAGTTCTAGCAGATATACAAAGAAGAGCTGATAGCATTCCCACTGAAACTATTCCAAAAATGGAAAAGAAGGGACTCCTCCCTAACTCATTCTATGAGGCCAGCATTATCCTGATACCAAAACCTAGCAGAGACACAACAACTACAGGAACACTTCAGGCCAATATCCTTCATGAACAGTGACACAAAAATTCTCAACAAAATACCTGCAAACTGAATCCAGCAACACATCAAAAAACTCATTTACCATGCAAGTAGGCTTCATCCCTGGGATGCAAAGTTAATTCAACATACAGAAATCCATGAATGTGAATCATCACATAAACAGAACTAAAGGTAAAAAACACATAATTATCTCCACAGATAGAGAAAAAGCTCTTGATAAAATTCAACATCCATTCCTGTTAAAAACACTAGGTATTGAAGTAACATACTTCAGAAAAAATAGCCATATATCACAAACCCATAGCCAGTATCATACTGAAAGGGAAACAGCTGGAAGCATTCCCCTTGAAAACAGGCACAGTACAAGGATGCCCTCTCTCACCACTCCTATTCAATAGTATTGGAAGTTCTGGCCAGGGAATCAGGCAAGAGAAAGAAATAAAGGGCATTCAAATAGGAAGAGAGGAAGTCAAAAAATCCATGTTTGTAGATGACATGATCCTATATCTAGAAAACCCCATCATCTCAGCCCAAAAGCTTCTTAAGCTTCAGCAAAGTCTCAGGATACAAAATCAATATGCAAAAATCACTAGCATTCCTAAACAACAGTCATGCCAAGAGGCAAATCAGGAATGAACTCCCATTCACAAATGCCACAGAAAGAATAAAATACCCAGGAATATAGCTAACTAGGGAGGTAAAAAATCTCTACAAGAAAAACTACAAACCACTGCTCAAAGAGGTCAGAGATGACACAAACAAATGGAAAAACATTCCATGCTCATGGATAGGTAGAATCAATATTATTAAACTGGTTATACTGCCCAGAGCAATTTATAGATTTAATGCTATTCCCATTAACCTACTATTGACATTCTCCACAGAACTAGAAAAAACTGTTTTAAAATTCTTATGGAACCAAAGAAGAGTCTTGCTCTGTTGCCCAGGCTGGAGTGCAATGGTGTGATCTCGGCTCCCTGCAAACTCTGCCTACCAGGTTCAAGTGATTCTCATGCCTCATCTTCCCAAGTTTCTGGGATTACAGGTGTGTGCCACCACACCTGGCTAATTTTTGTATTTTTTTAGTAGAGATGGGGTTTTGCCATGTTGTCCAGGCTGTTCTCAAACTCCTGGTCTCAAGAGATCTGCCCACCTTGGCCTCCCAAAGTGCTGGGATTACAGGCATGAGCCACCGTACCCAGTCATCAGTGATTCTCTCTTATAGACCTTCAGAGAACTTGCGTGGGGCCTCCCAGTCTCCTGGTGGCAGTAAAGTAGGGTGAGAAAAGGGGATGCCCTTTGCCAATACCACTTCAAGGATTATATTTACTGGAATTCACTTTTCTTAATGAAAGTAGGTAATTAGTTGGTCTTTTCTCTGGTTTTCATTCAATTAGTTAATTAACCAAATATTTATGGAGCAGTTACAATGTGCCAGGGATCGTTCTAGGTGATGGACATATATCAACGACCAAAACAAAATTCCTGCCCTCAGAAACTTACGTTTCAGTGGCAAAAGACAGATAACAAAATAAATCAGATTATATATTGTAGTATGTGGGAAGAGGGTAGTAAGGCAAAAACAAACAAACAAACAAACAAACAAGGAAGAGAACTAAGGAAAAGCTGGGGGATGGGGAGCTGCAATGTCAAATAGGGTGGTCATGGAGGGATTCACAGAGAAGACGTTTAAGCAGAGCCAGACTCTGGAGAGAGCAGAGTCATGCCAGTATCTAGGGGAAGATCATTCCAGCAAGTACAGTGAACTTAAGCCTGCTTTCCTTGTTAGTTTTTAGTTTGCCATTTTCCTCTCTTTAGATTTGGTAATGATGAGGAATGGGAAATAATTTTGAAGTTCTTACTAATTCAGAAATGTTGAATGTCAATAACCTATTGTTTTCTTGATCTCGTTCTTCTTTCCCTTCAGCTCACTTTGAGTTTCTTTATCTGTAATTCCTGATAGAGATTCCCTAGATGAGAATAGTGCTGAAGACTAATAGTTAATCACATATCGTCTTAGTGGGCAGATAGAAAGGGCTGGGAAGTCAGCTAAAAAAAGAGATCTAATTTCAATGTTTACTCCTCTGAAGGTCCTGCTCATTGAAAAGTTTGGCATATGAAGGAAGACCTGGGACTCATTGAATGCCAGGAACAATAGGGAAAAAGACCACAAAAAACCAAAACAACAGCAATATTACAAATAATTCTACTACTCTCATTTCACACATTTAAACAGTAGATGGTAACAGTAGTCACTAATATAGTTATAAAACCATAGAATTATATTTCTGGTATAATTCTAAAATTCTGACTACCTAAGGGAAAAAGTACAACTTCTGCTTATCTCATATTAACTCCAGTTTCAAAAAGGGCCCTTTTATTGCAGTGCTGGTGTCAAGGTACACCAGATTTCTACCTGTAGGGTAAGGTTTTATGAAAATGCCTTGGAAAACAAAACTGCTGAACAAACACGAAACACCACTACTGTTCACCAGGTGTGGTGTTGCCCCTTTTTGGAAGCAGGGTCGAGTATTTAATAGCATTTGACTAGTATATATTCATCCATAATGAAAGCCAGACACTTTATAAAAAGTTGATTTTGTTCTTTGTGAATGGACGCGTTATCTAGCCTCTCTGTGCCTCGGCTCCCTCAGCTGAAAAGTGGGGATAAAACCACACTTACCTGCTTTATAGGGTTAAAGTGAGGATTAAGTGGGATAATTCATGCAAATCTCTAAGAACAGTGCCTGACATACAAAAAGCGCTAAAACGTGTTGCCAATTATTAACTTCACAAAAATATCTACAGTGAAGCGGCACCTTCGAGTTCTACTGAGGTCTAGTGTAAGATACAGCTCTCAAGGTCTCTTGTAAGTTTTTGATTTTACCATCACCAAAACTAGCTCAATTAATGTATTAGTTCGGTCATCTCAAGAACATTTATTAAGCCCTCACTCTGGTTACATCTTGTATCAGGGAATTAGTTGATTTTAATCCAGTGCTTCGTTTTACACTGGAGGAAAAAAGTTCATAGCATTATTAATTCCCAAATATTTGCCAGGTGTTCAGAGTTTTAGAACGCTTATTGTCAGAGACTAAACTAAGAAGGCTTTTGAAGGCGCTCAGATCAGGTGGGAAAGTGAGAAGGGCTGGTATTGTGTTGCGAGTTTGTCAAGAAGAAACTTCTGGCCTCAGCCTATTGATGGGTATTTAGAACCCTCTGGCATTATTGCCAGCTGGCGGCTGAAGGCGAGACAACGGTCGCCCTCTTTTTGAGTTAAATCACGTGCTTGATTAAAAGTGAAGGTGGCGGCGGCTGCAGCGCCCTCCCCATCCGGGAGGCCGGCTTCTTCCCGACGGTGTTCTGGCTACGTCCCGCGCCTTGTCGCGCACGGGAGAGCGCCCGGGGTCGACGCCGGCCCCGGCGGCAGGTGGTCCCATGTAGCGCAGTGGCGTGGCCGCCTCCTTCTCGCCGGGTCCGGCGCGGAGGCAGCGGCTCAGGTGCCCGCGCGGGGGAGGACCCGGCGACTAGGGGATCTGGAGCCCGCTGGCGCCGCGCCCGGGAGGACACCCCCGGCGAGGACGAGGCCGCGCCTCCTCCCGGAACTGGCCGGCGCCGCGAGGCGGGAGGAGAGACGGGCGCTGGGCGGCCGCGCCTCGGGGGCCATGTACGTCCTTCCCACCGGCGGGGACCGCCCGGGGCTCGGGACGGAGGGGGAGTTCCGCGGCGGCTGCGGCGAGGCGAGGCTGGAGCGCCGGGAGGAAGAAGCGGTTCCTGCAGCGCCCCCAGCCTCGCCCCCTCGTGGAGCGGCGGGGCGGCCGCGGGGCTCCCGGGACTCGTGGGACGGCGACGAGGACCCTGAGCCTGGCGAGGCGCTCGGCGGCCGCACGAGCCGCACGGCGTCCCTGGTGAGCGGGCTGCTCACCGAGCTGTACAGCTGCACCGAGGAGGAGGCGGCGGGCGGGGGCCGCGGGCCCGGGGACCGCCGGCGGCGCCGCCGCGACAGCCTGGACAGCTCCACCGAGGCCTCGGGCTCCGACGTGGTCCTGGGCGGCCGCGGCGGCGCCGGCGACTCCCGCGTGCTACAGGAGCTGCAGGAGCGGCCGAGCCAGCGGCACCAGATGCTGTACCTGAGGCAGAAAGGTGAGGGCTGGGCGGAGCGGGCTCCCGGAGCCTTCCCAGAGCCGGGCTCTCCTCGCCCTCTACGCGCACCGGGGCTGCTCGGCCGCGCGCTCAGACATTGTCTCTTTGGATCTGATGCTGGTACCCACCGTGGCACAGATTTAGTCCACACTTGGTTCTTAAGTTCTCCGGAGTAATCGAATCGAGAATCATTTGATGGAGTGGGCAGCTTTCCCCGCTCCTCCTCCTCCTCCTATCTCCCGGTGTGTTCGCCGAGACCCCAGGGGAGAAGGCAGCCCAGATTCTAATTTCACCTGAACAGCTGTTAGGACAGGGTTGGAGGTTCTGATACGTATTCCTGAAGCCACCTAGAGGGCGCCGCCAGAATCGAGGCGAGTCCTAGGGCTCTTTCCCCCGCCCTCCTTTTTTTAAAGTCCTCCTTCTCTGGTCACACCACTTAGACAGTATTTAACTAGTGAGGCAGAATAATTCGATAATGCAGTTTCGAAGCAGAGCGTGTGAATTCTATTTCTGCCAGAGCATACGGTTCCAGGCAGCTCACTAGGATTTTTTTTTTTTCTTTTTTTCCTTCTAGGTGACAGGTTAGTGGAGGGCCTTTGAGTGCTGGGCTTTATTACAGAATTTAACTGCTGGTACCTTCAGTTGGCATGGAGAGGTCGACCAGAGAAAATGGCCTTGGCTTTCAGCGAGAGAGGCTAATGTGGTGTTTCTTTTGTTAAGAGACTCTGATGCTTGTGTCTTGAGAATTTTTTTTTCTCATCTGTTCATAATAGCTTGCCTTTCAGGTGGCAACACAGTTATTACAGTTGTCTTTTTGTATAGAAATATCAAGACCTCCATTAACGAAATGAGTTGAGGTATGGAAACAGATGCCGAGCCACCATAGCATTTCTTGACGGTAATGTCCTTGGGCTAAGTTGCCAAGGGAGGGAGGAAAGAGAAGTCTCACTCTCCTCATTGTAAATTGGTCTAGCTGGTTGAGAGGGCGGGGAACAAAAGTAGGAAAAGAATAAATCTGTCTGCTCTCTCAGACTTACGCAAACAGCTTTTAGTTTCCTCTTTTGACTTCCTATTGAAGATTTTTTTTCCCAACTAATTGTTACAAATGGCTTCCACTTTCTTCACCCTGCCTGAGACTTTGGCTGTAGCTGTGCCACTTCATTTTATAGAATTATTTTGTTCTCAGGGTATCTCTGTATGCCACAAGTCCCATAGGCCAATAGTTCTTTCAGGCCCCAACAGAATCAATTTTGAAGAAGTACGATTTATCTTTTTACAAGATTTTACATTTTTCTTTACTGAGGGAATTCTGGGGATTAGTGATTTCCTTTTTGAAAGGAAAATTGGCAAGCTAAAGCTTAAATAAAAAGTAATGGTACAGCTAACTATGCAAGTTGATTTCATATGAGTGGCCACATAACCAATCATTCACGAGCCCTCTAATAGTCTGTTTTGCCTGTTTCAGTCTTGTTGCATGGTTACTTGCCTGTTAAACCTTTCTTCCCTTGTAGTCAACCCTACTGAGATGAAGAAAATGCCATATCATATTAGTTCTATACACACAAATGCGTGCTTATGTGGGCACACATATATACACACCCACTCTCCCCTTCATTGATAACATCATTTGAGTGCTAAGATTAAAGTATCAGGTGATGATACAGCTGTCTGCCTAAAGAATGCTGCTTATTAGGTTATTTGATCTTTTTCTCAGGCTCAAAAAATATTCCTCCCAATATAACTCCTCTGCGTTCAGTAAGAATCTCATACAATACTGGTAGCCTGAGTATTCTCTCCTCTCCCTGCTAGGGATTTTGCTGTAGCCCCTATTTAGCTATATATTTAACACGTGTAGGTCCTTTAGGTGAGGCACCAGAATGCTTTCTCAGGACATCTGGACTCTCTTCAGTGTTTTTGTGGTTAAGGCGATGCATTTTGGAGTCAGATTCCTGGGTTGATATCTGGCTGCAGTTCCTCACCAGCTGTGTGACCTTGGACAAGCTATTTAACCTCTCTGTGTCTCATTTTCTTATAAAGAGGAATAAAAATAATAACACCTACCTCAGAGAGCTACCTCAGTGGTGAGAATTATGTAAGTTAGAGAGTGTGAAGTGTTTGACAGATGTTAGATATAATTTTTTTGTCATATACCCTAGGATTTCTTAGGACACTGAGCACAGATTGTGAGTTGACAATGTCCTTATTTTTGCTCAGTTATTTAACACTGTATAAGAGGCTATGGCTGTTGCCATGGAGTATTCAAAGATGAAAGAGACCTGTTTCCATCCCCAGGAGGTTTCTATACAAGCAGATGTTGCTGTAAAAGACATTTCCATCCTCAACTCTGAAAAATTTTTCCCATATTGAACAGTAAATGTAATTCAGAGAATTGGAGTTGTAGGCAACTTAGGGATCACTGGAAATGAGATAACATAAAAACCCTTTTGTGGAGGAAAAGTATAATTTAAATGCTTTGTGATAATATTCCTACCCTTTTTATTTCTAGAAGGAAGATATTGATTTGGTTCTTTATTTTTGTGACAGAGTTTTGCTCTTGTTTCTCAGGCTGGAGTGCAATGGCACAGTCTCGGCTCACTGCAACCTCTGCCTCCTGGGTTTAAGTAATTCTCTTGCCTCAACCTCCCAAGTAGCTGGGATTACAGGCATGTGCCACCACACCTGGCTAATTTTGTATTTTTAGTAGAGACATGGTTTCATCATGTTGGTCAGGCTGGTCTTGAACTCCTGACCTCCTGATCCACCCACCTCCACCTCCCAAAGTGCTGGGATTACAGGCATAAGCCACTGTGCCCGGTCTAAAATATTGAAATAGTAAAAGAAAGGTATTTGTTCTATCTGAAGACATCTAGGAATGAAGACCCTCTGGTCCTTTTTCTCATATTTAATCACATTTTCATTTAACTCAAATGTTCTCTTTTCATTATATACTATTATGTTTAAAATTAGGGGCAGAGGAAGAACTAGCCTTTGCCCTCTTCTTCACGGTACTTCCTTATTCTTAAAGTGTTTATATTAGTGTTTATAAAGACCATTCCCATTTGTTTCTCAGCATAATCTTGTATGCTAGGCATAATTTGAGACATGGAGCACACTTCCTTTCCTAAAAGCACCCAGGGAGTTAGTTGGCTGATCTCAAAGCAGTCCCTTTTAACTCAAGGCCAAACACATTTTCCATGGCGAGGTCCAGTATGAGAGCCCTGCATTTCTTTGTTACAGACTCCAAAAGTTGACTTTGACCTCTAGAGTACATTTCTGCTTTTGAGCATTTCTTTTCTTCTCTTCTGATTCTCTTTAGTCCAAATCCTTTTAAAAATGAGTAGATCCAAACACCAGAGAGAATCTCTAATGAGGGGCTAGCTAAAATCAAGTTGAGTGGAAGACTTCACCTGCCTGTCAGGTCATGCTGTAGTGACCAGTGATATCAAATGTGACCCCCCCAAAAAAGCTTCCCAAATCTTGATGATTGTTTATATAAAGGCAGTAGACAATTCTGGTTCCCAGGTTTGTTTTTATCTGTAGAAATACTGCTGTTAAGGGGAGGGAGAGCATTAGGACAAATACCTAATGCATGCGGGGCTTAAAACCTAGATGACGGGTTGATAGGTTCAGCAAACCACCATGGCACGTGTATTCCTATGTAACAAATCTGCATACTCTGCACATGTATCTTGGAACTTAAAAACAATAAAATAACTGCTATTGTGAATATTAGTTTTATGAATGTAGAATTATTCTAATCTGTTTAAATGAAATGTATTTTCTACCATATTTGAAAAGTTTCTGAGTCCCTAAGATGAAATATTGTACTTCTAAGACGAAATGTTAGGCTATTGGAAAACTGGATATTTAAAACAAAACCAGTATTGCCACATTCATTTACATTACAAAATATGGTAAAATTATTTACTTTTAGCTCATGATTTATGAACATACATGAGTACTTTAAAGACTTTTTAAAAAACCAGCTGTTAGGTTTATTATTCATGTAACAGACATGCACCTTTTCTGGCAGGGTGTGGTGGCTCACACCTGCAATCCCAGCACTTTGGGAGGCTGAGGTGGGTGGATCACCCGAGGTCAGGAGTTCAAGACCAATCTGACGAACATGGCGAAACCCCCTCTCTAATAAAAATACAAAAAATTATCTGGGCATGGTGGCAGGTGCCTGTAATCCCGGTTATTTGGGAGGCTGAGGCAGGAGAATCGTTTGAACCTGGGAGGTGGAGTTTGCAGTGAGCCGAGATCACGTCTTTGCTCTCCAGCCTGGGTTACAGAAGCAAAACTCTGCTCAAAAAAAAAAAACAAAAATGAAAACAAAAAACAACAAAAAACATTCTTTTATAGCAAGCTTACCATCTGAACACTTCAGTGGTACAAAATTTACATGCCAGTTTTCAGGTGATGAAAGGTAAATTTGTAGCCAGAGCTGGATATGGTAAAAGTAGGAGCCTTTGCTTACATGCTACAGATAGCCTTAAGGATAAATTTACCTTACAGCATCTCTCTCATGGACAGGGCAAATAAATGAGTGATTTATTTGATCAGAATGTCCTAGCTGAATATGAACATGTAATCTTGAGCGAAAACCTAGAATTAGTTGGTTTAAATGGACGTTCTGGATATTTATCTTTGGACTAGTATCACATTGGAATTTGTATGCTTCTCAAGATATTAATTGTTCTATTCTTATTTTTCTTTGCTGATAGACACTAATGAACTGAAGACTATCCTTCGAGAGCTCAAGTACAGAATTGGTATCCAGTCAGCCAAGTTACTTCGGCATCTGAAGCAGAAAGACAGACTTATGCATAAATTGCAGAGGAACTGTGATATTGTGACAGCCTGCTTGCAGGCTGTGTCACAGAAGAGAAGTAAGTACTAGAAGGGGGGTTACCTCTTTTGCCACATGTGACTATAATGTTAGGAAAGCTGAGCCAACAGTCTTTGTGTTCTTGAATATATTGAAAAGTTTTAAATGCAAGCTTATACGCTCAGATCTAAGAACAAGGAACAACTAAGATACCTTCCTATTTTTCAATTAAAATGTATACTTCATGTCTAATGTTATAACCTTAGACATAACCTTATTATTCTAGATTTGAGATAGTACTTACTTTGAAAATATTTTTACCTAATGCTGAATAATGATTAAAATTTTATTTTTAAAACAGCATCACATGCCAGGCATGGTGGTTCACACCTGTAATCCCAGCACTTTGGGAGGACGAGGCAGGTGGATCACCTGAGGTCAGGTGTTTGAGGCCAGCCTGGCCAACATGATGAAACCCCGTCTCTACTAAAAATACAAAAGTTAGCCAGGTGTGCTGGTGGGTGCTTGTAATCCCAGCTACTTGGGAGGCTGAGACAGGAAAATCGCTTGAACCCAGGAGGTGGAGGTTGCAGTGAGCTGAGATTGCGCTGTTGCACTCCAGCCTGGGCGATGAGCAAAACTCCCTTTCAAAAAAAAAAAAAAAACCCCAAAAAAACCCCAAACCCAAAAACTGGCATTACATAAACAACTTAAAAGGCATGTCCTTGTTCTGTTATTCTCTGTGTTGCTACAGTAGGTGAATTAAATAATTGATTTAAAGAAATATTCTTGTAACAGGACCTTAACAACTTGCTCAGAAATCTGAGGATGGCAAAATATTTTAGCAAATGAAACCTATCTCTTGCTTAATCATAACCAAGAGCTATATGGGAGCTGTGATTTGTTAATCAAATTAAAAATAAATGGCTAAATTGCTGATTTATATTAAGTACTAGGTGTAAACATTGTGAAATAATTTTATAATTTTCCATGCAGTAGCATTATGTTTTATTCTGCTAACATTTGCCTAATTTTGTTTTGCATTCTTTATTAACATGCAGCATGGCAGAACAGTATGCTCAGGTATGGTAAATATAGGCACAGTGATGTTTTTGGTAAAATGCCGATGACAGCTTTTCAGGTGCATGTGAAAGTTGCTTTTTGTTGCTCTTTTATTCAGTCACATTTTATATGTAAATTGACACCTCCTAGCAAGTTAAGATGTGTTTGCTTTCATGAAATAATTTTTGGGGCTTCATTAGTTTCCAGTAACAAAATTAATGGCTTAAATTTTCTTATGTTTATTATTAAAAGAAAATTCTGTATTTCCTTGCTTCACTTCTATTACATTATTGTTTGTTATCGCTAAAGTATTATTTATACTCTTTAGTGAAGAAGGTTTTACCTAATGGATATTAACAGAGCGCTGAAGGCCGGGGGCGGCTCATGCCTGTAATCCCAGCAGTTTGGGAGGCTGAGGCAGGTGGATAACCTCAAGTTAGGAGTTTTAGACCAGCCTGGCCAATGTGGTGAAACCCCATCTCTACTAAAAATACAAAAATTAGCTGGGTGTGGTGACATACCTGTAATCCCAGCTACTCTGAAGGCCGAGGCAGGAGAATTACTTGAATCCAGGAGTAGGGGTTGCAGTGAGCCAAGATCATGCCACTGCACCCCAGCCTGAGCAACAGAGTAAGACTCTGTCTCAAAAAAAAAATGCTGCTTGATTATCACAATAATATCACTAAGTTCATACCAAACAGGAATGTGGTTGAGTAGACTGACTTTGAATAGGCTTTTCTACAGAGTCAAGCACTCATCTGACATAGCCAGACAAGGAAGAAGGGGGTGTGTGTATGTGATTTGTGTGTAGCTATTGCAAGTTGACATGTGTTATAAGTATTTGATATTTTTCCATGAATTCTGATTTACATGTGTTAAGTTAAAAAATATTTTCCCCTTCTATTATGAGGTATCTTGGTTTTGATTTTTCTCCTTTCAACTATGTTTATATTCTACTCATTACTATAGTTTGTACCAGCAGCTAAAAGCACAGAATGGTAAATGCATGGGTTTTTAATATGTGGGAAAGGACAAGGGAGGATGGAGCAAGTTCAGGAGACAGAATAATATTAGGTTAGTCCAGGGTCACAGATTGGTGGATTCTATTGGTAGTTACTAGGGACCAATCATCATTTAGAATTTAAATTTACTTGATTTATAGCAGGGCTGGCATTTATGTCGTTTGAGGAAAAGGTGCCCACAAGCTCTCAATGTAATTCATGAATTTGTTGATGCATCTTTCCTATGCATTTTATAGTTTGTCTCTTTAATTACACCCAAAGTTTTGCATTTCAGAGAATACGGGGTTGTCTGGCACCTTTCCCTGAGAGTTCAATTCTGTCTTTGCTAATAAGACCCTATTCAATGGAACAGAATGCTTTTTTTGGTAAGAAATAACTGCATTAGAATTATTATTCTCATCATAGCATACTGTATTTTGATATAGACACTGTCAGAAATTTGACTAAATGGTTATTTACCCATCTTAAAGCTCCAGAGGTTAGATATTTTATTACTAAATCCCGATTCTATTAGTTGCATGTTTTGCCTCTTTCCTCAAAGTCAACTAATTCTAAAGAATTGAGATTAAAAAAAAAAAAGAATTGAAATTTCACTATCACACTGAATAACATATTTACTTTTTTGTATGTAGTATGTAAAAGTTCAGACAGTCTCCATTTTGGCCTCTATAGATTTGATGCTTATGTTTTTTTTGTGTAAGTGACTTTTCCCTTTTGTCTTCTTTTTCTTCTTCTTCTTCTTCTTCTTTTTTTTTTTTTTTTTTTTTGGAGACAGTCTTACTCTGTTGCTCAGGCTGGAGTGCAGTGCTGCAGTCTTGGCTCACTGCAACCTCCGCTTCCCAGCTTCAAGTGATCCTCTTACTTCATCCTCCCAAGTAGCTGGGACTTATGTGGGTGCCACCATGCCCAGCTAATTATCATATTTTTTGTAGAGACAGGGTTTCACCATGTTTCCCAGACTGGTCTTGAACTCTTGGGCTCAAACAATCTGCCTTCCATAGCTTCCCAAAATGCTGGGATTACAGGTGCGAGCCACCTTGCCTGACAGATTTTTCTCCTTCCATAATATGCTATAGAATAAAAACCATTTTATTGTTTTATTTCTTGCTAATACACAAAAGGGAATATAGTAATTTTGAAATAAGAGGTTGATTCTGATGTTAGGATTTTTCAGTGGTTTGCCTAACCTGTTTTTCCTGAAAGCAGAAGGAAGGTCATATTAATTATTAGCATTGAATAGTTTTGCTATTTTCTGCATTGGTATAGTAAATGTTTAAGTTATGCTGGTTGAATTTGTGAAATGGTTTTATAGATCAAGTGATAAAATCTAGCTGTCTCTTGAAAACTATGAAAAAAATGAACAAAATGTGAATATATGCAGAAATATTATCTTTATTTTAGACTTGCTGATAATTATAGAAATTTTAGACAGCTTACAGACTAATTTTCTTACTGTGTCCACCCTCGCATCCTGATAATGTGAAAATCTTACTGTGATAAATGCCTAAAATGCCTGGCAGAGACTGATAGTTTGTGAAAAGGTGAATAGTCTTTTTCTTTTCATAATGGCTGTCTTTTCTTCATCAATACCTTGTCCTTTGTGACAGGAAAAAGAATTTGTGTAGTCTTGAGTTTGGTGGCACTGGAACTCAACATTTTCCACTAAAAAACCATTATTTGTTTTTAAAATTATGAAGTAATCCACCCAGCTGGCATTTTCACTCCTAGATTTCTGCCCAAGAGAATTGAAAACATATGTCCCCACAAAAACTTGTACATAAATGTTCATTGCAGCATTGTTCATAATAGCCAAAAAGTAGAAACAATTGAAATGTCTGTTAATGGAGAGATATATCAAATGTGATATTATTCATATAGTTGAATACTATTCAGCCATAAAAGAATGAAGTATTGACTCATGTTACATCATGGATAAACTTGAAAACATTATTCTAAGTGAAAGAAGCCAGACACAAAAATTACCATATTGTATTATTCCATTTGGCAAATATATAGAGACAAAAAGTAGATTAGAAATTGCTAGATGCTGGGGGTAGGGGAATGGCAATGACTACTAATGGTATGGGTTTCTTATTGGTGTGGTGAAAATGTTCTAGAATTAGATGGTGATGGTTGTACCATTTTATGGCATGTGAATTATATAAAATATATAGTGTTAAAAATGTAATATATCCATGGAAACTTTGAAATATAGGAAATAGAGAAAGGTAAAGGAAAAGAAAAAATTTTTTTAAAGACAGTGCCTTAGAATATTTATTCAAGTGTTTTTTTTTTTTTTGAGACAGGGTCTTGCTGTGTTGCCCAGGCTGGAATGCAGTGGTGTGATTGCAGTTCACTGCAACCTCTGCCTCCTGGGCTCATGTGATCCTCCCACAGCCTCCCGAGTATCTGCGACTACTTGGTTGTCCCAGTGTCCCAGCCACACCTGGCTAATTTGTGTGTGTGTGTATGTATTTTTTTTTGTAGAGATGGAGGCATGGGGGTGGTGGTGGGGGGGAAGGTCTTGCTATGCCACTCAGGCTGGTCTCAAACTCCTGGGGTCAAGTGATCCTCCTGCCCCTTGGCCTCCCAAAGTGTTGGGATTAGAAGGCATAAACTAATATACTTGGCCTGTAAGACAGTTTTACATTATTGATTCAGCTTTTAAAATAATTACAGGATTATTCGTATCTTCTATTTCTTTTTTTGTCATCCCTGGTGTACTATATAGAATTTGCCATAACTTTTCACATTTGTAGGCATAAAATTACTAGAAATATTTTGGGTGTTCCTTTAGCTTTTCAAGATGTTAAAACAATTTCACTGATTTTAAACAGGGATTCACTTACTACTTAAAAATATCTTTTATTGTAGAATATATAATGAACAGGAGAATGTAATACATATATGTGTATTTTAAAGAATAAGTAAACAAAGTTGTATACATGTGGATATTCACCTGTCAAGCTGGAGTCAC